TCGGGGCCTCCTCGCCCTCACACCCAGGGCTGGTTTCGGGCTGCGACATCTGATTCTGCCGATTCTGCCCCCCTCCCCAGGCACATCTTTTTAAACAAGCCAGGAGGGTTTACACACATTAATGATGGATATGTTCGTGTCCGACCCTTGCTTCTATGTTGTCTTGCTATGAACTCAGTCACCTCATTTCTCTTTTCAAAACTGCCAGGGGAAACGACCGCCTTATGGCTCAGCCTCCAGATCTGCCAGTGATCCCTGTAGGGCTGGCACCTGCATCCTCCTGTGTGTGTGTCCTCATTTCACGGGGACAGAATAACAGAATCAGCTTTCTGTTCAGGAAAGCTGCATTTTTGAGAAGACTGCAGCACTCAATTTAGTCAGAACAAAGTTGATCAGACACTTTGGTTTTCAGCCAGCACTGGTATGGGGCGATCAAGGCTTTTAGCAGTTTGAGTCAGCCAGGTGCTGAAGCTGAGGGGAGCAAAAGCCAGGGCAGCTGACCCAAGCAGGCCAACAGAATTATTCCATACCATAAATGTAACACACTATACACTGGGGAGTTTGCTGGGGATGACCTATTTCCTTGATGATTGTCATCTCTGGGGGGTCTCGCCTGTTGTTCTGCTCCCAATACCTGTTCGTTGTGACCACTACATCAGCTGAGTACAACTCTGTGTACTTTATACTGATATTGCTAGTAGTATTGGGGTTTATTATTATTATTTTATTAAGTCTGCTTCTATTTCAACCCAGGGGTCTCCTTTCCTATTCCTGATTCCCCTCTTTGGATGGGGAGGAGTCATTGGGTGACAGAACAACTGCCTAAAGCATGCAGTGCTTGCTTAATGACAGTAGTTTCTGATATGGGAGAGAACGTTTAACTGGCAAATTCCTTTGTACTTAACACAATAGTTATCAGACTTATTTGCAGCTTTTAAAGAAAAACTTGTCTACTATGTTTATGATGCAAATGCTATGGATTTAAAAACAGCAAGTATTTGCTATAACAAAAAAAATCCACTGAGAAGTTCTGCGATTACTCTCATATTTTACATTAATCAGAATCAGTATTTCTCAAGTTCAGCTGAAAAGCTTATCAGTGGGATCTTGACGAATTTTAGAAACGCTCAGTGAACCACGAGCCAGCCAAACTGATGAGTCAACATTTAAACTCTTTTGAAGTCAACTATTTGGTCAGTACCGACAGAGCTAAGCCCCCCATAATTCAAGCCCCCTCCTGCCTCAGTTTCTCCTACAGCATCTTACCACCTATGTGGGTTTCCATTCTCACATCCTCACTTGTACAGATATCCGAATCATTCATTTATATATTTTTCCACTTGCAATAATTTTTCTCGATTGCCCAAAGGGCATTGCCACTTCCTTTCACTAAGCTATTCAACCTGTGATTTTCAACTGGAATTATCTGATATTAAAAAAAAAACAAAACCAAAACACAATCCTGTGAGCTTTAAGGTGATGAAGACCTGCCAGAGCCAAGCAGCAGCCTGGGATGTTGGATTCCAAGGCTCAGACTAACACAGAGTTACTTGCCTGCCTAAGAAAGCAAGCGCAAGAACAAAGTCAACTCTGGGAATCCAAAATCCCACTCAGAGACAAGCGTTACAATACTGGTGCACAGCCCTGCTGCACTGCTGTGGTTGAAGAGGCCGCCAAATCTCTGCGATCGTTCTCTTTAATTTCTCCCTGCCCCCAAGCAGATGCAGAGCGTGACTCCTTGGAGGCAGCGGCTGATGCGCCGGCGCAGCCATCATCATTCAGCACAGGCGAGGGAGAACAAGAGCCCAGTGTCAAAGCACTCGCCAACCTGTCATGGGCGAAGTCACAAGACGAGCGCTCTATTGAATTCCAGCCAGAGCAGAAGAGATGCCTGAGGGATCGTGAAGGTGCAGCTGGACAGCAATGAAAGGACGATTCTGCTGACAAGAAGTCTTGGCTGCACACAGAGCCCTCAAAAGGACAGAATTTGAAACCAGAATTTTCATACATCTCCCCAAATCACCTGCTTTTACTAACATACTCTCAGCTTATAGGGAATAAAATCTGTTCTCTCCACCAACAGGAGTTACCATAAGCTCACAATGCCACCTACTGACAATTAGAAACAGCGGCCAAGCTCTTCTGTCAATCCAGAGCAACTCAGGTTTTCCATTAAGTAATTTCCTCTCTGTTTCCTTGTATTTATCAACTGCTCTGATGGCTGAATGCAAGTCTTCTAAATATTTGCTTCTAGTTGGTATCTTTTCACCAGCTTTTGTCTTACAAAGGCTACTCTTTCTGCTTCTGAAACAGCAACTTCTTTCCAATTTTCTAAACTCGATCAACTCTGACTAATTTGACCAAAAGCAGTTAATTCCTCCCAGTTATCAGAATGTGAGATATTATTTCAGCCTTCTCCTGTCCCAGGTAAACACAGAATGTCTGCACAAATTCACACATCTGGACAGTGTAAACAAGCTTAAAATTCAGAAACTTTAATGACAGATAATGCTTTTCATACCCTTAAAAACCAATCCCTGAGTCCACTGGTTTAAATTCAAGAAATACAAACACCTTTGCAAGAGGCAGCACCGCAGTCGAAGCAGACGCTGGGACAGAGGAATCAGAACTGAGACTGTGGCAGTCCTTCCAGCTTTTCAAGCGCTATTCCTACCCTCCACTGAAACAGTGTTCTGGTGTGTGAAAGGTGTTTATAAAAATTTGGCCAAGGGAATTATAACCCATTATGAGACCCTCGCATATTACCAAGATATAAATAACAGCAGAGTGGGATTAATTTAGAAAGCTAATGTAATATTCAGTTATTTTTGCTGGACGAAGGTCATTCTTAGAATCACAGAATGGCTTGAGTTGGAAGGGAGCTTAAAGATCATCTATTCCCAACTCCCCTGTCATGGGCAGGGACACCTCCCACCAGCCCAGGCTGCTCAAAGCCCCGTCCAACCTGGCCTTGGGCACTGCCAGGGAAGGAACACTCACACCTTCCCTGGGCAACCTGGGCCAGGGCCTCACCACCCCCACAGTAAAGAATTTCTTCCTAATATTGAGTCTAAATCACCAGGGAGAAGTCTCCATATTTGCATGCAGCTGCAAGAATCAGACTAGAACAGAGCACCGTGGCCAGAAGAGTCATGACACACACTAAGGAGCTATGTTGCCTGAGCCCCACTGGAACCTGCAGAATCAATTCTTCGTATGCCTACAAAGAAAAACACATTGATTACAAGCTCTTTCTTTTTGACTGCAACTTAGAGGATCAGTAACCAGACTGCTATTTAAACAGCCCTTTGCTAAGGCTTCTTCTGGGATTTGAACTCAAAACCGAGATGGGATGTAACCTTTCCGTTTACTCCAAACGAAGCTCAATAAATTTATCTGCTAGCATTTGAAATGGTAGCCATTTATATCCTCTGTATCTTTGTTTTTACAGTAGGCTTGTCATTGAGGGTATGTACTTAATACAGCAGGGATGAGAGAAGCTCTCAGAACAAACATTTCACAATTGCTGAGGAGCCAGTTTTCTCCAAGGCAAACAACTATTTGGATTCTCTGAGATGTAGGAAGCTCCAAAATGTTTTTGGACAAGAGTTGCAGGTATCCCAGGCCTCTGCAGGTATCTTAAATACAGGACAGTATGCGTGTTACAAAAACAACGGATTTGGTATGAGAAAATTAGTCTTATTTCTGAATCTCTATGCTACTGCAACCCTTTCGAGTATCAAAGGCAGTTGTTGACCACATTAAAGTCCAGGTTTCCTTAGTTTTGAACACAGAATAAAGAAACTTCATCTTTTCCTAGATACTTCGCCAATCAGATAACAAACAAACAAACAGAAGTGGCCTTTTTTAAAGATGTTATTCCTTCAGTCTTTGGGGTTTTCCCCCTCCTTTAGTTAGATCATAAAGTAGTTTTCCTCTTTGCTACTCTTCTGAGGCACCTATGTTGTAAAGACTTCTCTTAATTTGACCAGTGACAATTAGATCCTAGAACTCCAAGTAAACTATCAAGGAAAACAAAAATGGTTGAGGAGAGTAGCCCCATAAAGGAGCACAGAGTGACTACGAGCACGCCAGAAGGGCAGGAGGACACCCATTAAAACCCAGTCAGAAAGGAGGAAGGGACACTCCCTAAGGGGCAGTCACACTACTAGTCTTCTACCAATTAGTTCCTGTGCTATGGAAGTTGCTAATCACAGGGGAAAAAAAAGGTAGCAATTGTTAAAAGAGAACCAAGAATTCCCACTAGAAATAAGAACTCACAGGTTTGTGCATTATGCTGTACCACTGACAGGGACCAACATTTTGGCCTGAACAGGGAGCTTCCACTTCAGCGGGCTTCCAACACTCTGCTGACAGGCGATCTAAGGAAGACGTTAATAGGTCAGCAGGATCCAGATGGAATGAAGAAATACACCCTGCAAGACTTTCCCAATAATGTATCTTTCCTAGATCTGCTCCCTAAAACAGGAGAGTAAAAGCCCTCTCCCTAAAAGAAATGTGACAGTTAACCTGCATGGTCAAAGCGGTGCTGGGCTGCTCCTTTTCATGAACTTTGCAACTCTTCCCTTCCTAACACAGTAGGAACACAAGGAATATTTTCACCCACATGGTATCTTGGCCCTTCTGTCCTTAAAATGGGCAAAGAATTCATCATTGGTCTGTAGACCTCTCAACTTTAGCCATATAGTTATAATTTCCCCCAAAACACAGAAGTCATTCCTCCATTTCTCCTCATTGGCCTCCTGTTGGCACGTGCAAGAATTCCCCTCCAATACTTCAAAAGCTTTCATATTAATAATAAATATGTTTTCCTGCTCGTAAGTAGTCAATGTGGTAGAAAAATGGGAAGATTTTACACCCCTTTTTTAATTGACCAGGCAGTTTTCCCTGCCCCTAAGTTTATCCCAGAAAATCATTGCTCAAATAATGAAGAAAAAGGACCTGAGAATCATTAGCACATTTGACTTAGCAGCTAGCAAGAATGATTCTGTGAAAGGAAATAAAATTTGTAGCAAAAAATGGAGGATTTTGTTGTTCATATAACTGAAAATATTCATTGCCAGTGGATACCAGGTTCTTGTTTCACAGGAGTCTGACACTCCAACCATTTCTGACCATCAGGCACGCAGCTTTCTACATTCCTCCCTTCTATATGCAGGAAGAAAGTGTTAGAAACCACCAGAATACTTTGATTACTCCAAATACCTGACAGTGAATATAAAATAAGCCATGCATGGCTTCAGCCACCAAGAGAACGTGCTCTGAGCAGCTGAGCTTTAAGAAGGTAGGGTCTGCCAGGACTGCGACAAACAGACCAACTACCAACACTTGCAGTGCAAGGGTACAGCGGCAGCAGCACAACACCAAGGATTCTGCTGACAATTAATCTGCCTCAGGTCAGGCAGCAGCAGCATTCAAAGAGGAAGCCAAGAGGAGCTTTATCAGGGCTGCTATCTTCCCCTTGTGCTCACATGACTACCAAGAGCTCCATCTCCAGAAGACAAACACAGAATGAGATTCCTAGCTCTGGGTTGCCCACGGTTATTCCTCTCTCACCAAAAGAACATGTAATGAGGAACTCACTGGCACAGCAGCAGAGCAGTACTTCTGGGCTCTTCAGAACAACCAACGCTTCCTCGCTCTCTTCTGCCGGCCGGTGGTATCGCACGTGCACAGGCAAGGCAGCTCTGAAACAGCGAGCGCACTGAGGGTCGGGTTCCAGGTATAGGAGGACAAGAAGATCTTTGGCTAAGTACTCTGGAGCCTCCACATCAACGACATCGGGAATTACCACCACCTGCAAGTGGAGAAAGAGACGGTGTGGCTGCGATCAGAACTGACACAACGGAGGGATGCAAGAAAACTAACAGATGAAGATTTTGTGCCTGATTCTGGGATTAAGAGGCTGCAGCAATCTACTGCAGCATCAGAAGGGAAAGCTGTTTTCCTCATTCTGTTGTCTAACACTGGGCCTGATTTCATGGTTCAGGAAGATAAGTTTGGGAATTCTGTGCTTAAGCTGTTCTAAAATACCTTTCCAAGTCTCTCTTCAATGAATCATTCTTATGGATGAGAAGTTTCCAGTGCAACCATGCCTACAGCCTAACCTAAGCGGCCTTAGCGAAATGATGCGTATAAACACGGCCATACATGCACGGCTTGCAAGCACCCCAACACCACAAGTTGCCCAAAGTCTTCATATCCATATGTTTTAACTGAATTCAGTGCCAAAAGGGATTACCCTAAAGCCACAGCCTTAGCACATCTCTCTACCCAAAATGCAAACTGGAGAGCAGAACGCGGTGATGAAAATGGAGCTGTGAAGCTCCTCAGCCTGGATGCACAGCACGCTGCTTAGAGCTCACCACCACCTCCTTTGTGGGGTCTAACTTTTCATCTTCACAACCTGAAGAGCTTTTACCACAGCCGCTCACCTGGGGCTCAGCAGAGCAGCAGCAGCTTCTCATTACGCAAGCCTGTGTAGAAATATCAGCTGCACAAACTGCCCAGCACCGGGTGATGCTGACCAAGCTGAGACACAACGAGGTGTCACAAAGTTGATAATGTGCAGCATCTCCTTCCAGGGAAAGGAATTAATCACCTTGGTTCAATGAGCCAGATAACAACCAGAGATTACCACTTCCTGAGCATCCTTGTCCTTCTTGGAGTAACTTAGCTTTGGGGTCGTTACCTTTGTTAAGTTTTGCTGCTGCAATGATGCCAGCTCATAGGGATCCACGTACATTCCTGGTGGAAGATGAGTCTGAATGGCCACTGCGCAGCCTCCTGCATCCTCCTCCACTGCACCGAGTTCTACCTTCACCAGCAGGTCCCTGCAAACAAGTGACAGAATCAAAATGTTTGTGCTCTCAGACACACAGAGATGAGACGCAGCCCTCGTGAACATGCTGCAAATTCAGAAAACAGCTCCCTGTCAAGCCACACTGGCCTCCTCCCATGAGGAAGACCTAGTTCACCTTAACCCCACAGCCATGACCAAAATGAAGTTTCACTTCTTTGTTAACTTCTCAGAACTACCAACGGCCTCCACACAGATCTTAGAAAGGGGCCTCCAGTTCTTCCTCCACAATAGCTTATAACTGTTAATTACTTGACAGTGCTAATGCATTCCTAGCGCCTAACCATGCCTGTGGATCACAGCTCACTGAGCTGAGACAACTGGGAACTAGGAGAGAAACTTCTTCACACATAAAATTACCCAGCATGTTATTGTGAGGTGGTGCCAGGGCAACAACTCACCTGTGAAACCCCTCTTTCAGAAGCTCCTGGGTGACAGTGGCATCCTGACAAGCAGCCTGCACGTCTAAGGTAACACAGAACGAATGAGGAACAGCATTTACAGAATTGCACTCATAATCACATGGGCAAACAACTTTCACAAGTGAAGTTGGATAACCTATGAACACATCATCTGCAAAACCCCTCACGAGAAAAAGGAAACAGTATTTCAACTTAGTACAACCAACAGCTGTTTTGTCAGTAGAACACCAAGCTTCAGCTACCACAAAGATGATGGAGGGAGTGGAGCATCTCCCTGATGAGGAGCGGCTGAGGGAGCTGGGTCTCTTTAGCTTGGAGCAAGGCAGACTGAGGGGTGACCTCATTAATGTTTATAATTTTGTAAGGGGGGAGTGTCAGGAGGAAGGAGCCAGGCTCTTCTCAGTGACAGCCAATGACAGGACAAGGGGCAATGGGTGCAAGCTGGAGCATAGGAGGTTCAACCTGAACACAAGGAAAAACTTCTTTACTGTAAGGGTGACAGAGCATGGCCCAGGCTGCCCAGGGAGGTTGTGGAGTCTCCTTCTCTGGAGACATTCAAAACCCGCCTGGACGCCTTCCTGTGTAACCTCATCGAGGTGTTCCTGCTCTGGCAGGGGGGTTGGACTGGATGATCTTTTGAGGTCCCTTCCAACTCCTGTGATTCTGTGTGAAATATCTCTTTTCCTAGCACAGCAACTTTCATCAGCGTGCTTTTGTTTTTACTGAGAAGTCCATAATAATCTCCACTTTTCCAACCCTCATTCCAGGTATGATTCCTTATCTACTTCTCTATGAATCCCAGATCCAGATTTTAACAGTGAACTTTGTGTTACAGCCATTCTTTTCTTTACTTTTCTCCAAGTAGGCACAGAATTCCACTTTTAGACCTGAAACTCCAGTCACCTCATGAACAACGTCAGCATCGGCTGGAGCAGAGATCTAAAGCAAGGTGATACTGCCGAAATATGAAATTTTGCAGGTCTTGCAGCAGGCTTTCAGTTACCTAAGGTTAAAAATTGTTTGCCCTCGTTATTAATTTCAGTAACAGCGCAAATCATTTCAGTTGGAAGGGCCCTACAACCCGGGCTCCAACCAGCCCCGGCGGCCACTAGGCCCAGCTTCTCCCCACCCCTCCACCGGACCCACACGGAACGGCTCTTCCCGGGCCGGGTCAGCACTCACTGAGGGCGCAGAAAAGCGCGGCCACCCCGGCGCGAAGCAGCACCTCACC